AAAAAAAAAGATGTACTCTGAAATTCTCTTGAGTCCTTACTCAGGAGCACACCTTGCTGTGGCTGAAAACAGTGCTATCTTCCCTAAAGACTTAACACAGACATGTCTAGCAAGTGAAAACTTGGGCCATGTCATGGGTGTTAAAGGAAGCCCCTCATGGAGTGTGACAGTGGAGCTTAACTGTGGCTTGGTGGTCGAGGTGAGCAGTGGCTGAGTGTCTCTGAGTGGGTCATGGTCCCTGGCCCTTTCCTTGCTGGCATTATGCCCTTGCTGTGCTTCTCAGCTGCCAGCAGTCAAGCAGCTGTGCCCCACCATGTCCTTTCCTCCATGATGTTTCTGTACTGCCAATCACCCATGGACTGAGTCCCCTGAAACCACAAGCAAAATTAAAGCTCTTCTTTTTCAAACTGTGGAAGTCAGTTTTGTGTCCTGTCAATTGAAAAGTTAGCCACATGGGGTCACCTGCCTTCCTGGCTGTGGTGTCAGGAAATGTTGCATTATGAGTTTTCTGAGGTTTCTTCTCAGGTGGAGAGGCCTGGTGTGGGAGAAAGACCAGGATGTTCTTGTCTATGGGGGATATCTGCTAGAGGAAAGTCCAGCTTCTGAAGATTCAATAGCTTATGTTAGTGAAATGCATGTTGTACCTTTTTTTGTGTGTGTGATACCGGGGATTAAACTCAGGACCTTGCGCTTGCCAGGCAAGTGCTTATTCTACTGAGCTATCTCCCTAGCCCTGAGCTATCTCCCCAGCCCACGTGTTGTACATATTGAAAAAGTATTTTATTTCTTTCTTTTGGAAGAGTATTTTTCTAACCAAATGATTCATTTAAAGATTCTTGAAAAAACATGAATCTGAGAGGCACTTAACAGACTGTAACTAGCAAGACCAAATGGGAGATTCATAAAGAAATTTTATGTAAAATTCCAGAATTCTAGCCAATGACCTCAGTTTAAAAATAATTTCCTAGAATAACAAGAGGCTTTTGCAATGTGGGAAGTGACTTCTGCCCCAAGAAAATACAGAGGCCCTGCCTAGGAGAGAATGACTTACTTTGAAGCTGTACCTGACAATATTCTGGGGTGCATGTGGATTGTTGGCTGTCAAGATCCGGGTGAACTCCTCCTTTAACTCCTGAGGGACAGAAATACCAAGATCACATATGAAGCTTTCCCACCTCCTCTGAGGCTTAGTGCTCCCCATGGTACCAGCACACATTCCACACCCAGTCTCTGTGTGGGCTTCTAAACTGCTCTATAAAGAATACATCTCTGAAGCTGGAGGTAGAAGGAACAGGACAGGAGGCTGCTCACCGCATCAGTCAAATCCAGCTGATCAGGGGGTCTAACTGTAGCTTTGGACACAGCCCATTCATCTGCCCCTTCTCCCACTTCAGTTCCTGAATCTTCATCCTGCACAAAAACCTCACATGAGAGTTGGAAGTACCTGATTTGCCTTAACAAGCAAGTAACACTGCAGGAAGCCCTTCATCCACAAATCCTCCTAGAAACCAAGCTCCACCTGTTGTATACAGAATACAAAATATGCAACATGCCACTCATTAAAGAGTCCAAAGGCACTGCACAGGCTGAGGTTCTCATTGCCTTGAAGATCACAGCCATCTCCACTCTGGAGAAGAAGGGCTTAGCTAGATGTGGAAGGCCTGTGGCCCCAGTAATTAGAGCAGAAAAACTGGCTCTTCTCTCCTTTCCCACCTCAATGCAGCCTAGAAGATACTGTCCAGGACTAAATGCCAAAGGTTGAGCTTTGTGCGGGGCCTTAGATATTCAGAAAGGATGCAGGCTGTTATTCAAACTGTGCTCTAATTTATACTTGACTTTCCAATTTGCCACCTTAATGTTACTCTTAAAACAATACCCTTCTTGCACTTGGTTACTTTATTTATATTATTATTATTATTATTATTATTTTTACTGTATTTGGTTTTAATAGCGTCAGACTATGCAGCTTGGACTCATAGTGATCCTCCTGTTTTCAGCCTCGCAGAGCTGAGGTTACAGGTCCACAATACAAGGCCAGGACTCTGTGGCTGGCTCAGCCTGCCCTGGGGCGGGGGGCTTGCACAGCCTGTGGTGCTAGGGATCAAATCACAATCCCTGTGTTTGCCTAAGCTTGCTTAAGCCACCTGAGCTATCTCGCCAGCCCCCTTGTTTACTTTAATACTCAAGGGCTAGCAGTTTTGTTTTCTCTAATAAACACCTTTCCAAAATGGCCAAGGCATATTTTTAAAAATCTTTATCCTCACTAGCCATTAAAGTATGTAACACTGATACTTTTCTTTTAGCATAAAACTGGCAAACTGTAAAACAACCAAATTGTCATCCAGTTTTGGTGAAGTTAAAGGAAAGAGGTACCTATAAATTTACATAACCTTTTTAAAGAGCAACTTGGAAGTTTTTACCAAAACCTAATAAACTGCTTATATTCATTGATTCAGATTTCTATGGGGATAAATTTATGTTAAGGAAATTATCAAGGATATGACCAAATATTTAAATGCATGAAGGCTTATTAAAAATTGATCATAATAGTGAAAAAGAAGAAAAACACTTAAATGTCAAACAATGGAGCACAGTTGAACAAATTATGGTTTAGACTTATGGACCATATGGCAAAATATTATGTAGTGATTTCAAATGATGCTACAAGAGTATATTTACAGGTTGGGCATGGTGTCACACACCTGTAATCCCAGCTTTTGGGAGGCTGAGGCAGGAGGATCTCCATCAGTTCAAGGCCAGCCTGGGCTACATAAGTGAGTTTAAGGCCAGCCTGAAGTAAATACTGAGACATTATTTCAAAAAATAAAAGTATACTTACTAGCAATGAAATATATTCTAAGTATAGTATGCAAAATGAAGCATAAAATAATCTATGTACTGTTTGATTTTAGTGAAAAAATAAATACATATAATTTTTATATATGCAGAAACATCTGAAAGGATATAACATCCCATGTTAATTAAATGTTAACCCAGGAGAGTAGTTTAAGAGGTAATTTCACCATTATTCTCACTCGTTTGAATCTTCTAAATATATATAAGTAATATTTTCACTATAGAAAATGTCACTAGCATCTTGCTGAGAGACTCTGGTGATCTCAGTACTTACTCTCTTTCTTGCTCCTTTGCCCATGTTAACACTCTGAAAGAACAGAAGAGAAGGGACGTCATAAGCACGTTGACATGGGAATATCACAAATGGGGCTACAGAGACAATTTCACCCAAGGACCTCACAATCAAGGACAGTGAGCTTTTTCAACTCTCAGAAAAACTTGCAGTGGCAACCTGTGCTTCTTAGTCCAGACAAGGAGGATCCATACCTGAGCAGCCCTGTTTCGGCATCAGAGAGGCTAACCTATAAAGAGTACCTAGATGACAAGCACTGAGTATTTCCTCCTCTCCTCGACCCTTCCCTTCCTCCTCCTTGTTCCCCTCCCTCATTCTCTCCTCCTTCCTTTTTCTGGCACTACTAGGTATTGAACTCATGGTCTTCCACAAGCTAGGTGAATGTTCTATCTCTAAATTACACCCAACCCTAGCACGGGGCATTTCTTAATTCCATCTAATTCAACAAATACCTTAAAAGAATATTCTAAGTGTTCAGCTCTGTATTAAGCAGTAATGGGATTTCAATGGCAGATCATATTTATAAACACCTGTTTGGGATAAATACAAGCTTCTTATGAGCCATTACTTTATTTGCTTTGTACACTGCTATATTCTAGTACCTAGAAAAACCCTCAGACCATAGTAGATGTTCAAAATATGGAACAAATGAGTGAATAACATCAAAACCTATCAGTCCTTGTGAGCCTGCGAAAAACCTTTTCCTCTCTGAGATTCAATTTCTTCAACAGGAAAAGATATAGTATGGACATGATAAGCTTCCAGTTCTAACATGCAAAATTTTATGTTGCTAAGAGCATATGGTTTAGATATGGTTTGAGTATGTTCCAAAGGCTTATATATTGAATGCCTGATCTCCAAGGTGGTGTTGATGGAAGATGACAGAACCTGTAAGATATGAGATCTAAGGGGACGTCCTTGGGTCACTGGAGACATGCTCTCAAAAGGAATTAAGATAGCCCTGGTAGTTTTCAGAGAGGGTGATTATAAATAGGGAAAGACCCCACCTTTCCTGGTTCAACATGTAATCCTACTCCCTGTACAAGCTCTGTTGTCTGCCATTAGGTCCTCACTACAGCCAGCTGAAGCAGGATCTCTTGAATCTCCAGCACTGAGAACTAAAATAAACCTCTTTTCTTCAAAAGGGTCCTTCCTGAGGTATTTTCTTATAGTAACAAAAACCTGATTAAGAAAAACAGCATACTCCATTCAACTTGGTAAACATTTGGGGACTATCTATTTATAAGCCAGGCACTACCTTAAGCAGTGGGACAAAGACAAAGAAAGATGAGGTCCCTACCCCAGTTTGATCAGGGTCTATGGAGGACAGATGTGTATGATTAGGACTCATTACTCAGCATATGGTCCTTGAAAAGCTGGCTCTGTGCCACCAATCAGGTATCTGTTCACAGGTTCTACAGGAATGCATGGGGGCACCTACCTTGGCAAGGTACTTAGGAAATGTTCCAGAGGTGATATTTTTTTAGGTAGGTGTCAAAGACTAACATGTGTTGCCTAGGTGGAGAAGATGTTTTTCAGAAAGAACAGCTGTACAAAAGCAAGAGAACAATGACAGATATAATAAAATGTTCTACTGAACAAAAATCACACAGTATATATATAAGTGTGTCAGGTGATCCAGCATCAACAGGATCAACAGTAGGGGCCAGAGACAGAGGAGAGGCATCCTCTGAACAACAAGTGTGAAAGCACTGAATGAGGGGTCAAGACAACAGAGACATATGAGTTAAGGGAAGATGTTAGTGGCCATCATGGAACATTGTTGGAAAGAGATGTCTGTTCCCACCTCTGTAACTGACCACCTGTGTTATTTTGAAGTCTCCAGATCTTAGTTTTCCAAAGGCAAAGTGAGAGAGGTAGACTACACCAAATGGGCTTTTACAGTTCTTACAGTGATAGGTTCTTTGGGAGCAACTTGGATCATGAGAGGGAGGAAAGGCATTCCAGGCAAAGAGAGAAACACCATGCTTAGCTTGGGCTGGTTGGGTGGGCAATGAGATTCAGATTTCTTCCAGGTTGCCAAGGTTTCCAGGGATGGAAATTCTTCTCTGAAGCTAAGCCACATGAACCAGAAAACTCTCCTTTGAAAAGCCTCTGATCTCTAAGGTAACAGGATGGAAGCTTCACAACATCCAACAGCTCTCTGGCCCACAACAGAGCACTGGAAGGCCAATCCCAACCCAAACCACCAGACTTAAATAGAAAACGAGATCCAGTTACCACTGCCCCCTGTAAATATGTCTGTGAAACATTTATCTGGCAATAAAAGAACTGACAAGGCAATTTGAGTGTAATTGTTTTTGGCAGTTGGAAATATTTCAATTAACACACTATAAAAGCCACACTATAATAAATGCAAAACAGGCCAATAAAATCAGCTGCAGCCCTGACTTCCCAACCATGGCAAAGGAGATTGAATGTCAGGCTGCCACTTCAGGCCCTTGGTCTTCCAGAAGTAGTAGCCTGAGACAGACAAGCCTGAATTCCTGAAAAGCTTTAGATAGTCCCTCCCAGAAGCCATCAAACCACAGAAGAAGAAAGCACACTCTTTCTGGGCCCTTGGAACTCCATCATCTGGCTCAAACTCTCTAATCCAGCCTGATCTCCTACCCTCCCATGTGCTAAGACTTTGAGGTACAATCCAATGAAGCTACTCACAGTCCCTGAGTCTGACCTGGGCCTTCTCACCTCTTTTCCTCTGCTTTTACTATTCCTCCTGCTAGGAATGTCATCTTTCCCTTCTCCCTTTCTGCTCCTCCTATGTCTGCCTGACAAAAGCCTACTCAACTAGCTTCTGGTAGGGTTTTTTTTTTTAAAATCTAACTCCTGATATGTTACCACCTTCCTCCTATCTTCCTCTACTCTTCCTTTCCTCACTTTGATAGGTCTCCCATCAACTTCCACCACCATGACTTGGCTGTTGCGAAATGAAGGACCAAATGTATCTTCAGACACTCTGTTGTCTATAGGTTTTGGTCTATAAAAGGGGATAGCACTATGAAAAGAATGAGAATTCTGTACTGCATATGGGAAGTGGCTTGGAAATTCCAGCAAATGAGTACACCATTCTTATGCTATTGACCAAAGAAGACCCACTTCTCTTGACCAAGTCTACTTGGCCAGGGGGACATCTATGAAAGAATGAGGCAGGAAATAGAAATCTACTCAGGCCACCATGGCAGAAAACTTAACCCTGGTAATCAATCAGATTAACAGATGCCCCATAACAGATCTTCACAGTTGAGCAATTTTCTATTCTCACTGTTAGGCACTCCAGCGTGAACACCCTGAGGGAAGAACTGTATCTTGTCCATCTTTGGGCCACTATCCCAGAGCCTAGCACTTGGACAGAGTTCACTTCTCTTTATAGAAGGCATCAGGAACAACTAGGTGACTGATTACTAGTCATTTCTCAATTTTCTTATAGAACCTAACATTGCTGAGGGCTCCCTCTCTCCCTGAAACTTCTCCACCTTAATTCCATGTCACCAGGCCCTCCTGTGGTTCCTTCTCAGTATCCTTGACCATCCCCTTCCAGGGCCATGCAGTATGCAAGACGCTGTGGTCCTCTGATTCTATGTATTCCCCTTGAGTGCTTCTTCCACCACTCATACCTTCATCTCTTTCTGCAGTTTAGATCTTCCAATGCCTCATGTTGATACTGATCTTAGGGTACTCAGTATCTTAAAAATCAACCCCCAACTCCCACTTGCCCTAGCATTCCCTCTCTCATTCAAGTATACCACCATGCTTTAGTCACTCTTGCTGGTGCCGATGCCTGCCTTATTTGTACCTGTTCGTTAGTATTATATCCCCAAATCAATGATTTGATCTCTTCAATATCTTTCATAACTATCTGTTCCATTTACATCCGCTTCATTGAGGTGCTTGCTGAAACTTGCCTAACCATATTTTATCTCCCTGTCTCCAGTTCCTCTTTACTCTAGTAATTTATCATTATAATTTTCTGGTATTGAGCACTTAATTGGACCTAATCATTTACTAGCTATTTATGTAAATTATCTCACTTAATCTGTTCAACTATCCTGTAGGTTCAGAGTTGTTACTACTCTCAGGGTACTGATCAGGAAAGCAAGACAGAGAGAGATCAAGCAACTGACCCAAAGTTGACTAGAATTTAAAACTAAACTTTTAATCACTACTTATAAATAATCTCTCCAAAACATAAATCTGATCATGTTACTCTTCTGATTTAAAGACTCCAAGAACTCCTTATGAGTTAGGAGAAAAAGTCTAAGCTCCCTATGATGGCTCTGTATTCACCTCATTCCTGCTCTTTCCCTCCCACCACGTCAGTTACTTAGGGCTCTCCTTAGGTGCACACATGAAAGACCTGTGCATGCAGGGAGGCCGAGCCTGTGTGTCAAATATGGCTCCTGCACTTGGGCAGGTGAGAGCGGCTGGCCTGGCAGGAACTGCCCACATGAAGTGCGGGGCATATTTCACAAACTCTTTCTCCAGGCTCATAGGACCTCTTTCCTGGATCACCTGATTTTGCTGCTTTGTCCCAAGCATTTTGCTACTTTCCCTCAATATTACCAACTAAGACATCTGGCCACAGTGAACACCCTGAAATTAATGCTCTGCATGAGTGCAGCTATCCCACTAAGATGCCGCCTCTCTGGACCTTTAACAACCTATTTCTATTTTTGTTTTTGGTTTCTATCCATCTGTCTGTCTGTCTGTCTGTCTATCTATCTATCTATCTATCTATCTATCTATCTATCTATCTATCTATCTATCTATCTATCATATATCTTAGGGTATCACTATGCAACCCAGGCCAGCCTCAAATTCACAGTGATCCTCCTATCTCAGCCTCCCAAGTGCTAGGATTACAAGCATGTGCTACCATGCCTAGTACTACTCCCTGGTTCTTTAGGCACAGTTCTGGAGCACCTCCTTGGCTCATGCTTACTTTTAGGTGATCTTTAGGTTAACATCCCTCCTTGTGGATTGACATCACTCAGGGT